ATTGTTAGCTCTTCCTGATGGATAGACCCTGTAATTATTATTTAATGCCCTTCTTCATCTCTTGTTACAGCCTTTAAAATCTAGTTTGTCTGATATAAGTATGGCTACTCCAGCTTCCTTTTGACTTCCAGTAGCATGATAAATAGTTCTCCATCCCCTCACTTTCAATCTGAAGCTGTCCTCAGGTCTAAAATGAGTCTCTTGTAGACAGCAAATAGATGGGTCTTGTTTTTTTTTATCCATTCTGATACCCTATGTCTTTTGGTTGGAGCATTTAGTCCATTTACATTCAGTGATATTATGGAAAGATATGGGTTTAGAGTCATTGTGATGTCTGTAGGTTTCATGCTTGTAGTGATGTCTCTGGTACTTTCTGGTCCTTGCAACATTTCACTCACAGTATCCCCCTTAGGATCTTTTGTAGGGATGGTTTAGTGACGATGAATTCCTTCAGTTTTTGTTCATTTCAGAAAACCTTTATCTCATGTTGCATTCTGAATGACAGACTTGCTGAATAAAGGATTCTCAGCTGCCTTTTTTTTCTGTTCGTCACATTGAAGATTTCCTGCCATTCCTTTCTGGCCTTCCAAGTTTCAGTAGATAGGTCTGCTACTATTGTTATGTGTCTACCTTTGTAAGTTAGAGCCTGTTTATCCCTAGCTACTTTCAGAATTCTCTCTTTATCCTTGTATTTTGCCAGTTTCACTATGATGTGTTGTGCAGAAGATCGATTCAAGTTATGTCTGAAGGGAGTTCTTTGTGCCTCTTGGATTTTATTGCCTTTTTCTTTCCCCAGATCAGGGAAGTTCTCAACTATGATTTGTTCAAGTACACCTTCAGCCCCTTTCTCTCTCTTCTTCTTCTTCTGGAACTCCTATGATACGGATATTGTTCCATTTGATTGCATGACTTAGTTCTCTAATTCTCCCCTCATACTCCTGGATTTTTTATCTCTCTTTTTCTCAGCTTCCTCTTTTTCCATAATTTTATCTTCTAATTCACCTATTCTCTCTTCTGCCTCTTCAATCTGTGCTATGGCCGCCTCCATTTTATTTTGCCTTTCATTTATAGCATTTTTTAGCTCCTCACGAGTATTTCTTAGTCCCTTGATCTCTGTAGCAATAGATTCTCTGCTGTCCTCTATGCTTTTTTCAAGCCCAGTGATTAATTTTATGACTATTATTCTAAATTCTTGTTCCGTTATATTGCTTAAGTCGTTTTTGATCAATTCGTTAGCTGTCGCTATTTCCTGGAGTTTCTTTTGAGGAGAATTCTTCTCTTGAGTCATTTTGGGTAGTCCCTGCGGTGGCTCCAAACTGCAGGGCACTTCTGTGCTGTCGGAGTAACTTGTGTTGGTGGGCAGGGCTGCAATCAGACCCAATGTCTGCCCCCAGCCCTCCGCTGGGGCCACAGTCAGACTGGTGTGTACCTTATATTCCCCTCTCCCAGGGGCAGGACTCATTGTGGAGTGGTGTGGCCCCTTTCTGGGCTGCTTGCTCACTGCCAGGCTTGTGGTGCTGCTTCCATGGGATCTGGCCAATGGCGTATTAGCTGGAGTGGATAGGCAAGGTGCACAGGGGTGGTCGGGGCTGGCTTAGCTTGCTTTGCCATGGGTGGTCCCCTGTGGGAGAGGCCCTGCAGCACTGAGAGGGAGGCAGGCCCATCGGAGGGATGGCTCCACAGAAGCACAGCATTGGGCATTTGCACAGTGCAAGCAAGTTCAGTGAAGGGAACTGGTTGCCTTTGGAATTTTGGCTGGGTAATGGGAGAGGGACATGGTGCTTGCCAGCTCCTTTGTTCCCCCACTGAGCTGAGTTCTGTCTTCTGGGGCTCAACACTCTCCCTCCTGGCATCCTCTCACCTTTCCCGCTTTCTGATAGCAGAGCTATTGACTTTTAACATTCTAGATGTTAAGCCCTGCTGGCTGTCGGAACTCATGGAGTCCAGCCCCTCTGCTTTTGCAAGCCAGACTTCAGGGGCTCTGCCCTGCCGGGCGGGCTGCCCCTCCACTGCCCCGGCTGGCTCCTGCCAGTCTGTGTAGCACACACCGCCTCTCTGCCCTTCCTACCCTCTTCCGTGGGCCTCTGGTCTACGCTTGCCTCCTGAGGGTGCGTTTTGCTAGTCTTCTGGCATTTTCCTGGGTTATTTAGGCAGATGTGGGTGGAATCTAAGCGATCAGCAGGACGCGGTGAGCCCAGCGTCTTCCTACACCACCATCTTCCCAGGTCTGGACTCTCTTAGACCATTGGGAGGTGAACTGAGAGCTTGGAAGACCCCGTACCACAGTCCCTGGAGCACAGGCAGGGCCTGATTAGGTTCCTCTCTAATGAACTATTACTATCATTGAGCTTCTCTAAAAAATTATTATAATGTGTTTGTAAACAAATATTTCTTCATGAAAATCATTAATACACAAAAATTAAAAATGAAAATACTTTTCTACTTCAAGAAAAATGCTTTAATACAGGGGAAAACTTCCAAAAATATGTCAGGAAAGCATTTCAGATATATCATTTAAGTTTAGTTCATATAGTCTCCAAAGGGCAGCTGGGAATGAGCTTTGGAGGGGACCGGCACATGTCCTTCAACTTGCAGAAGGCCTTATCCTTCCTCCAAAGAGTGAGCAATGTGCATATTCAGATGTGATTAAAGATCTTTACAAGGGGAGATTATTTGTGATTATCCCTGTGGGCTCTAAATCCAATCACAAGTGTCCTAATGAGGGAGAGGCAGGGGGATTTGGCCCACACAGAAGAGGTGGCCATGTGATCTCAGGAGCAGAGACAGGAGTTATAATGGCCACAAATCAAGGAATGACAACAACTACCAGATGCTGTCACAGGCAAGATTAGAGCCTCCGGAAGAAGCATTGACCTGCCAACACTGTGACTTCAGCCCAGTGATAGTGATTTTGGATTTCTGATCTCCAAAGTTCAAGAAAATAAATTTCTGTTGTTTTAAGCCAAATAAGTGAATAAATAATTTGATATAATTATAAGTTGTTCTTATCTAGCCACTAAAGAGTATCCTTAATAACCTTATAAAAAGATTTCCTACTTAATATACTGCCACACTGGACAAAATCTCCCAAATGCTTCACAGATAATCCATACTCAGATGCAAGAGAATCTGAAGAGAATGTTGTTTTATTTGTGCAAACAAAACCTTTTTACTTGAGAGAATATTGCAATTCATATTTAGTAGTGAATGTTGAATAGACTATTTTTTTAAAAAACAAGCCCATGACTCCAAAAGGAATGTTCTTAAATTCTTAGCAAAGAACTTTCAGACTTGTATCACTATTAAATCTTCACTGGTAACATACATAACTTGGTATTTAATGTTTAAGTGTGCAAACTCCTCTGATCCCTCCTTTTTCTCCTCTAAGTTACTTTTCTTAAATTACTATAGAAGAAATAAATCGAAATTTCATATCAAGTAGGTACCCAGTGCTTGTTGACTTAATACAGCTAAATTTATTCTGCCATTTGCTTCCTTTTTTCATACCCCTAGTATTTTAATCTCCCATTTTGCTTATGCATCCCCTCACATATAGCCTGGTGACTTGTAGTTCCATTCTGAACTCTGTCTACTCTAAGCTCTCTAAACACAGGGGAGAATCTCTTTGTGCCACATTGTTCTCAACTGTAAAAGGAGCGTAAGTCAAAATTAGAATTTATTTGGGCCTCAGAGGCTATCTAAAATTCTTTGGGTCTTATGATTTTCTATAAGGTAATAAATAACATTTTTTATTTATATGTGACAATAATGTACATGCTGCTGAATAGTTTGATCAAGGTCATCCTTTGGGCAGGTTAACAAGCTTTTTTTGGAGATGTTTTACAAGTCACAATTAGCTGTTTTAAAATTTAATTGTAACTGGGGCACCTGGGTGGCTCAGTCAGTTGAGCATCCAACTTTGGCTCAGGTCATGATCTAGCAGTTTGTGGGTTCAAGCCCTGTGTCAGGCTCTGTGCTGACAGCTCGGAGCCTGGAGCCTGCTTCGGATTCTGTGTCTCCGTCTCTCTCTGCCCCTCCCCTACTTGTGCTCTGTCTCTATCAAAAATAAATAAAATGTCAAAAAAAAATTTAATTGTAACTTATGAAATCTTTCCCTAAAGTTTATTTGTGGAGGTCTTATAGTATTTCCTATTGAATGCAGTAAAAAGAAAAAAGCTTATTTATAAATATTTATTCATATAACTTCTTTCCACATTAATATATAGGCAATATTTATGGTGAAATAATAAATATTGCTAGAAATTCAAAGTGAGACCGAGGAAAGTAAGAAAATATACTTAGCAAAAAATCAGTATAATTGCTTTAGATATGCTTCATATTTGTGAGCTAATGTAACCATGACAAAAATAAAAATAAGTTTAGTTTCATAATTTCTGTTATAAAAAGGAGAAGGTTTATTGGTTTCACTAAGGAATCATTTTTTTCTTGTACCATATTGTAGAAGAAATTTTTTATGTGAGTCATGGAGAGGACACAGAATAAAGCTATATTGGATAAGATTTATTTCTTGCTTTTTCATTTTATAGTTGAGTTGTGCTTTCTTTACTCACTTTGAGACTACAGAATTTTTAATAGCATCTACATTCATGACTATGCATGTGCTAATAGAATAGATACTAAAGATAATTATTGATAAAAATGAATTTCACAACTAAATGGACTTGGTTTAAAAGAAAAACATTTATGTGTCTTAGTGATCTTTCTTTCTTGCGTGGCAGAATTCCAAGATATAATGCCCTCAAGCCTTTGCTTGTTATTATTAGCACCTAACACATTTTATTGTGATTTGTTTATCTGACATTTCCCCAGATCCTCACTTAACTGTGGGTTCTGCTAGGCCAGGAATACTATCTTAGTCATTTGTAATTCTAAATACTAATTTTGTTACCTGTACATAGTAACGTACTCAGTAAATATCTTAGTGAATGAATGTAATACTGAATTTAAGTTTATTTGTTTTCTCTCTTTTTAAAATTCAGAATTATGGCTTGGAAACAGAGAATCTAAAAACCCTTTCTCACAAGTTGAATGCATCTGCCAAAAATCTACAGAATTTTATAACAGGGAGGAGAAGGAGTGGCCATTATGATGGGAGAACCAGCCGAAAATTGCCAAATGACTTTTTGACTTCAGTTGTGGACCTGATAGGAGCAGCCAAGAGTCTGCTTGCCTGGTTGGACAGGTAAAATCTTCCACATGTTTCATAAGTAATCCTCCTCAGGTACTAGCTTGAATATAACATCATTTCATGTATTCTTGTGAAAGGATTAGACAGGTAGAGGAATATCAAGTGACAAGTGTCTAATTATGATTCACCACAATATAAGGGTATCATCAAATAGATATTAATTGTTTGTAAAGTTTTATATCTACGTAGCCAATTAATAATTAGTCCCTGACACTTTCAGAATACCTTAACTGCTTTATAAGCAAAGTCATTTTCGCCTGTCATAACAAGATTTATAGAACTGTTTTGTCTCCTAATTTTCTTTATTCTTTGAATTAATTGGTCATATTTAAGGAAGTGACCATTAGGATTCTATTTGCTGTTTTAAGTAAGGTAATTAGACACTGACACTTTCATAGATTGCATTGCATGTCTTCTTACCCTTGCTTTATTCATCCTTTGTTATTACTCACGTTGCACAATCTTAGATATCATAAACATAGTTTTAGGTTTTTTTTCTAGTTTAGTTTTTATTTGTCTTGGAACACATAAAATAACAAAAGTTTTCATGATATAAAATGAAAAAGATTAAAACTGAATATGTGATTAAACATTGTAATGGTAAAACAAATTACAATTTAAAAAATTAAGCTCTTTATTTTCATTTTTAGAATTTTGTTGTAGGAGATATGTACTATGTTATAATGGTTACATAACCAAATTTTAAAAAACATTTTATCTCTCATAAGAAACTCCAGCAATATAAAATTTTACCAGAATTCTTTCTTGAGTAAATGTCAGTAGGATATATATTATATATATAACATTTTGGCTTTTTAAAAATATGAGGCCTTATATTATAAATAAAGTATTTGTATTTTTAAAGTAAAAGTTAAGATAATTTAACTTTATTCTATATTATCTAAATTTATATATATTAATAATAACATACAGCATGATGATAATAAATCCAGATCTTAATACTAAGCTCTGTGTTATTAGCTTTTTGACAATTAATTGGTGGACAGCGTGTTTCTTTTCCATTATGACATGATTAAAATTTAATTCTCATCATTGTCTAAACTACATTTATCAACTGATTAAATTGTTTACATTTTAAATATATAAATTCTACAAGTTTCATAATGATCTTTAGGTAAAATATATTTAACATATGGCTTAGTCCTTAAGCAGTGTAATATATTTGTTTCAGAAGGCTTCTCACTAATTAGAAAGTGTAAAGAACACATTCTCAATTTTTGTTACATCCTCTTAAACTATCATCTGCTCTATAATTGTGAATTTGCTCGGTCTCAATATTTGTATTTAGTAAATTTCATTATATATATTTTTTACACTGGTACTTGTGAAATATATTAATAAAAAGAATAATTAGAGAATGGTGTTACTTTTTTGTGGCTGATATGGCTGTTTATAAAAACATACAAAAAGCTTCTAGAACACTACGATAGTTTCTCACATTTTATTGTATTACATAATTTTTTATGGTAACGTTATTTTTATCATGTAAGAAGATGCTTTTAGTAAATGCCAGTTAACCTACAAACACATATGAGTGCATACACACATACAAAAAACACATACAAACACATGCATAAAAATCCATCAATGGTGTTTTGAGTTTGTTTCATAGAAAGAGAAAACATGAACAAGGGAACAAAGAGGTTTTCTTAAATTTTTGTGGGTTTTTTTTTTGAGAATCCAGTATTGGTTTTTTTTTTCCAACTTTATTGAGCTGTAATTGACATATAACTGTGTAAGTTTAAGGTGTACAACATGGTGATTTGATACACATATATATTGTGAAATGATTACTGCAGTAGGATTAGTTAATACATCCATCACCTTTTTTTGTGCGAGTAGTGAGAACATTTAAGATGGAAGTAAAGAGTTTTATGGGGAAAAGGAAGAGGTCTGTAAGATCAAATGCTGCTAAGTGATTAGGTAGGGTAAGGACTGAAAGTGTGTGGTGCGTGAGGGAATCAGGATATATGTGTTGTCCAGTTTAGTGGTTTTATTTAGAAGTCATGAAAACTGGATGCGTGAGTTGGTTATGAGTTAAAAGTGAGAACTCCTCTATGGGGCGCCTGGGTAGGTCAGTTGTTTAAGCTTCGGACTTCAGCTCAAGTCATGATCTCAAGGTTCCTGAGTTTGAGCCCCTCATCAGGCTCTGTGCTGACAGCTCAGAGCCTGCAGCCTGCTTCCGATTCTGTGTCTCCCTGTCTCTGCCCCTTGCTCACTCACATTCTATCTCTCTCTCTTTCCAAAATAAATAAACATTAATTTTGTTTTAAAAAAAAGTAAGTGAGGGGCGCCTGGGTGGCGCAGTCGGTTAAGCGTCCGACTTCAGCCAGGTCACGATGTCGCGGTCCGTGAGTTCGAGCCCCGCGTCAGGCTCTGGGCGGATGGCTCAGAGCCTGGAGCCTGTTTCCGATTCTGTGTCTCCCTCCCTCTCTGCCCCTCCCCCGTTCATGCTCTGTCTCTCTCTGTCCCAAAAATAAATAAACGTTGAAAAAAAAAAAAAGTAAGTGAGATCTCCTCTTTGAAGAAATTTTTCTTTGAAGTGGTGTGTAGTTTGGAATAGTTTTGTGTAATATTAACTTCCCCTTTTCATAAATTCTTAATCCCATAGTGGTGCTAGGAAAGAGGAAAGGTAAATGATGAATGGTTACTTCTTTATTTGGGAGCTTAACTTTGCTTCCTCCTCTGCCATGGATTGTATGAATATCTTAACTGTTCCTTGGCTAAATTTCAGAAGGTCCTGAAATCAATTTAAATGTAATAGAACTTTATCTGTAACCATGCCAGGTGAAATGTTTAGGCTGTTTGTTTTCCTGACAAGTAACCCAGACTTTTGTCAGAGATTATTAGTGGGTTTGTATTTAAATTATATTTTTATTCCTTTCAAAGAAAAAAAATGTTTTCTAGGTAGCAACAAGAACACAAGACAACATTTCACATGTCCTCTTGTTTCATTATGTCCTACAAGCTACACAGGAAACAAAACATATAATCATTGCTAGAATAGCCACAAGAGCAGTGTTCTAAATTACCATTATTTTGAGTCCCAGCCAAAATGCATCATGAAATAGCGCAGAGGAGTAGAAGGCTGAGAAAGAGTTGAATTTCAGCTCTCCCTCTAGTCCTGGGTAATCTTGAACATTAACTTCTGTTTTTATTTTCTTTTTAGAATAAGATGTAAAACCTGCAGAATTTGAAGTTCTCTTCTAAGCACTAATATTCTATAATTCATTGACCTTGTTCACCAAAGCTATATGAGCAATATATCCAACTTATTTCCTTCTAAATAATATCAAAGAATGAACACTAACAACATTTGTTAATTACTTATAGAATCATGATTTAACTCCCTGCCTCTTCTCTAAATAAATTTAGTTAATATTTTTAAGTTCTAGAACAAAACTAATCTCTTTATGCTTTCTTTATAAAATGTAAGACTGTGCCTTGTTTATTTTTGTTTGCTTTTGAAGAACATAAAACTTAGGTATTTAATTATAAAATTCCATAGAAATGATGTTGACCAAAAATTCTTAATATTTTGATCTGTTGATGTAGATTTATTTTAATTTAAAGAAACAGTGATATATATTTTTTCATCAAAAATTTTTTTGCATTTGGGGAGAACTTGCATGCACAGCAATATGATATGGGTTTATTACAATTTCCTTTGTATCACTTTAAGGGGGAAAAAGGAAAAGAAACAATAGGTGAAAATCTTTAATATATTTGTAGATACTGAACTAGATGCTTTCTATATATCAACTCATTGAATTCTCATAAGGCAGGTATCATCTCCATTTTACATATGAAACAGTAAGTAATTTGCCTAAAGTCATTCATCTAGCATGAAAATTAAAATTTGAATCTATTTTTGTCTGATACCAAAGTGCTTCTTGTTTCTCATTTGTGATTTTCCTTTGTCATGCTACATCTCCTTTCGAATGTTGACTAATTCTCAGAAACTTTGAGGAAGTTATTCTTAGAAATGCTGCATAAATAAACATTTATTTTCATTTTGGTATTGCTCTTCAAGTGCTGAACAAGAGTGCAACTTTTCTCTTTTTTTTGCCTGGATACTTAAAAATCACTATATAGAATTTTTATTTGTATAAAGTGTAGTTCACATTCTACTTTGAAGTCCTCAGTGAGATATCTTTTAAATCGTTGAAAACCTTTTGAATGTTTAAGAATTAAAAGTTACAGAAAAAATGTTTGCAATTCACAAAAACTTCAATTTCAGTGGAGCTTTCATTCAAATAAAATTCATTTTTAAAAACCAGCTCCTTACATTTCTTCTTAAAAATTTTTCTTTAATGTTTATTTATTTTTGAGAGAGAGAGAGCGAGAGAGAGAGAGCACAAGTATGAGAGGGGCAGAGAGAGACACACACACACACAGAATCCCAAGCAGGCTCCGGGCTCTGAGCTGTCAGCACAGAGCCCAAAGCGGGACTCGAGCTCAGAACCATGAGATCATGACCTGGGCCGAAGTCTGACACTTAACCTACTGAGCCACCCACGCACCCCTACGTTTGTTAAATCATATAAAATCAAATGGTGACAAAATTGCTTTTTTTCTCCCATTTTAAATATTAACTTGAATGAAGCAGCAGCCTTTTCCAGAGGAAAAGCTTCAGACATGAATCACATTTGGTAGCTTTACTGTTTATTTTCAATGCATGGTTTACTTGTCTATTTTTAACCTGAATCCCGCTGTTCTTCACACCTCATCTTTCCTACAGTTTTATATGGCTTTGCCAAGTCAATCTATACTTGCGGGTTTATGGATTACTGTATTTATCACGATGTACAGTAACATCATTAACAGTATTCTAAGTATTATTTATAGAAAAAGTTTATTTTGCTATTTATACTGAAAGTTTATTATTTTCTCTCATTTTTAGTATTAATATATAATTCTAATGTTTCTAAAATACCTTTCAAGACCATTCTGTTTTGAAGTGATCAATGAGA